AGTCCCTAGTTGGGATCCTTCATTGTGTGAAGATATCATGTAGCACTGATTGCAAAGTATCTGCTGAGTAACCACATTCTACGTCCCTGGAAGATAGGGTGCTCTGATTGCTGAAACACCAGTTCCAGAGATTGACTGTTTCTGCACATGAGAGCGACAGATCTCACTCCCCCTTGTTTTTCCATATTAAAGACCGTGTTGGTGTTGTTCGTCATGATGCAAGTGGATGAGTGGAAGAAAGGATTCACACACAAATCTTACTGCTCTAAGTTCTAGGATATTGATGTGCAGCCTGGATTCCTGAGGTGGCCACATCCCTTGTGTCATACGGGTTGTCTCTATATATTCCCCCACCTAACAGTGATGCTAGTTTTGTCTGGGGGAAGAGGGAAGAAAGGGGACTCCCATGCACATATGATGTGGGTCTGTCCACTATAGGAGGGATAACAGTACTGTGGATGGGACTATCAGCATGAAGTTCATAGAGTGACAGTTTGCTGAGTACATGGACTGAAGCCATGTCTTCAGGCAGCAAAGGAAGTCTCATGAAGAAGGAGGAGACCAGAAAAGAGCGAATATAGTGCCCATCTATAAAAAAGGGAAATAAGGACAACCCAGGGAATTACAGACCAGTCAGCTTAACTTCTGTACCCGGAAAGATAATGGAGCAAATAATTAAGCAATCAAAAACAAATTTTGTCAAACCAACCCGATAGCTTTCTTTGACAGGGTAACAAACCTTGTGGATAGGGGGGAAGCGGTGGATGTGGTATATCTTGACTTTCATAAGGCTTTTGATACTGTCTCGCATGACCTTCTTATAAACAAACGAGGGAAATACAACCTAGATGGAGCTACTATAAGGTGGGTGCATAACTGGTTGGAAAATTGTTCCCAGATATTAGTTATCAGTGGCTCACAGTCATGCTGGAAGGGCATAACAAATGGGGTCCTGCAGGGGTCGGTTCTGGGTCCATATTGTTCTGTTCAATATCTTCATCAATGATTTAGATAATGGCATATAGAGTACACTTATAAAGTTTGTGGACGATACCAAGCTGGGAAGGGTTGCAAGTGCTCTGTAGGATAGGATTAAAATTCAAAATGATCTGGACAAACTGGAGAAATGGTCTGAAGTAAATAGGATGAAATTCAATAAGGACAAATGCAAAGTACTCCACTTAGGAAGGAACAATCAGTTGCACACACAGATAATGGGACATGACTACCTAGGAAGGAGTACTGCGGAAAGGGATGTGGGTCATAGTGGATCACAAACTAAATATGCGTCAACAGCATAACACCGTTGCAAAAAAAGCGAACATCATTCTATGATGTCTCGGCAGGAGTGTTGTAAGCAAGACATGAGAAGTAAACTGCATTAGCTTCCAGTTAATTTCTTTAGTGCAATTCCAGGTGTTGGATTTGATGATTAAAGCTCTATGGTTTTGCCTGGGGCGTGCTGGTCTCTGTGATGGTTCATAGTAGCAGGATGGTAAGGATGGTTCTTCCCTAGGTTCTGATTCATGGGAAGAGGTGGACTCTGGTTTGAATGATGGTACCGTTGGAGCTGATGGACTGGCGTATAACATGCAAGGAAAACATGAGAATCTGTATAGCAGGCATAGCCCATGGCAGGATGTGAGTTCTCTGGAAGTGGAGGGTCCTGAAGGAGGAGACTCTAGATCCAGTCAGGTTTCTTGGGGTGCAGTCATGGATCAGCATCTGCCTGGTGTAAGGGGCATTTAATCTTTTCCTTCTGCCAGTACCAGAGTCAGATGTAGCAGTGGGAGGTGCACTCCTTGCTGAATCAGACTGATGTCTGGGGTAGTTCCTGGCCTGGGTCTGACGTGGTCTCATGGCCATCTCCATGAGATACGTGCAGAGACAAAGTGCTGAGCCTTCTCAGGTATGGCTGGGAAAGGACTGGCAAATACTGCACCTAGCTGCAATGTGAGCTTCTCCCACTCAAGCAATAGAGGCAGCATTGATGGTCACAGCTCACTGAAAAGGATCACAGGCAAGAGGCGCAGAGTTTGAAGCCTGCAGTCCTGGGCATAGTGTGGTACTTGAACAGGGGTACGGGGTAGGGGTAATGGGGAAAGTCCCTGAAATCTAGATTAAATTTTTAAAAACTAGAAAAGAAATATCATAGAATCATAGAATATAAGGGTTGGAAGGGACCCCAGAAGGTCATCTAGTCCAACCCCCTGCTCGAAGCAGGACCAATTCCCAGTTAAATCATCCCAGCCAGGGCTTTGTCAAGCCTGACCTTAAAAACCTCTAAGGAAGGAGATTCTACCACCTCCCTAGGTAACGCATTCCAGTGTTTCACCACCCTCTTAGTAAAAAAGTTTTTCCTAATATCTAATCTAAACCTCCCCCACTGCAGCTTGAGACCATTACTCCTCGTTCTGTCATCTGCTACCATTGAGAACAGTCTAGAGCCATCCTCTTTGGAACCCCCTTTCAGGTAGTTGAAAGCAGCTATCAAATCCCCCCTCATTCTTCTCTTCTGCAGGCTAAACAATCCCAGCTCCGTCAGCCTCTCCTCATAACTCATGTGTTCCAGACCCCTAATCATTTTTGTTGCCCTTCGTTGGACTCTCTCCAATTTATCCACAAACTAGTAAAGCTATTTACAACCATAATTAGAACTCCAGAGAGGAGGACACGGAAGGTTTGAACCTGGACTATATGGCAGCAAGGAGATCTGGAGATGTGGTGGTCCACCCCGCCCCTTTATTGCCTTAAATGGAAGCTTGAGGCGAGTCAGGGCACATGCACAGACCAACAAACACTACTTCCAAATTCTCCAACTAGGTGTGCATGCATAACCCACACTGGAATACAATAGGGACCATTCAACAACAACACTGGGTTTTGTCTTAAAAAAAAAAACAGAAAACTCTGTGCGCCTGTAAAGCCAACACCCCCCGGTCGTTGGTGGGTGGGATCAAACCGGGGATCTCTGGAGCTTAGTGCATGAGCCTCTACCACATGAGCTAAAAGCCAACTGACTGGTAGTTAAGGCTGTAGAGCAGACTCATTAATTGCTTTCTCTCTCTCTAAGTGGTCTCAGTGCCACTACATGGGACAGAACACCATATCCAGGAGGTGTGTGGGTTAAACGCCCATTTATGGCAGCTAGCTGCAGATGGTTTGAAATGATCTAAGTCAACTCCCATGGAAGTGAGTGGGAAGAATAGTAAATTGTAAATGACTCTTCACTGCCTTTTATACGTGTTCAAACAGGATCATAGAATCATAGAATATCAGGGTTGGAAGGGACCCCAGAAGGTCATCTAGTCCAACCCCCTGCTCAAAGCAGGACCAATTCCCAGTTAAATCATCCCAGCCAGGGCTTTGTCAAGCCTGACCTTAAAAACCTCTAAGGAAGGAGATTCTACCACCTCCCTAGGTAACGCATTCCAGTGTTTCACCACCCTCTTAGTGAAAAAGTTTTTCCTAATATCCAATCTAAACCTCCCCCACTGCAACTTGAGACCATTACTCCTCGTTCTGTCATCTGCTACCATTGAGAACAGTCTAGAGCCATCCTCTTTGGAACCCCCTTTCAGGTAGTTGAAAGCAGCTATCAAATCCCCCCTCATCCTTCTCTTCTGCAGGCTAAACAATCCCAGCTCCGTCAGCCTCTCCTCATAACTCATGTGTTCCAGTCCCCTAATCATTTTTGTTGCCCTTCGCTGGACTCTCTCCAATTTATCCACATCCTTCTTGAAGTGTGGGGCCCAAAACTGGACACAGTACTCCAGATGAGGCCTCACCAATGTCGAATAGAGGGGAACGATCATGTCCCTCGATCTGCTCGCTATGCCCCTACTTATACATCCCAAAATGCCATTGGCCTTCTTGGCAACAAGGGCACACTGCTGACTCATATCCAGCTTCTCGTCCACTGTCACCCCTAGGTCCTTTTCCGCAGAACTGCTGCCTAGCCATTCGGTCCCTAGTCTGTAGCTGTGCATTGGGTTCTTCCGTCCTAAGTGCAGGACCCTGCACTTATCCTTATTGAACCTCATCAGATTTCTTTTGGCCCAATCCTCCAATTTGTCTAGGTCTTTCTGTATCCTATCCCTCCCCTCCAGCGTATCTACCACTCCTCCCAGTTTAGTATCATCTGCAAATTTGCTGAGAGTGCAATCCACACCATCCTCCAGATCATTTATGAAGATATTGAACAAAACCGGCCCCAGGACTGACCCTTGGGGCACTCCACTTGATACCGGCTGCCAACTAGATATGGAGCCATTGATCACTACCCGTTGAGCCCGACAATCTAGCCAGCTTTCTACCCACCTTGTAGTGCATTCATCCAGCCCATACTTCCTTAACTTGCTGACAAGAATACTGTGGGAGACCGTGTCAAAAGCTTTGCTAAAGTCAAGAAACAATACATCCACTGCTTTCCCTTCATCCACAGAACCAGTAATCTCTTCATAAAAGGTGATTAGATTAGTCAGGCATGACCTTCCCTTGGTGAATCCATGCTGGCTGTTCCTGATCACTTTCCTCTCATGCAAGTGCTTCAGGATTGATTCTTTGAGGACCTGCTCCATGATTTTTCCAGGGACTGAAGTGAGGCTGACTGGCCTGTAGTTCCCAGGATCCTCCTTCTTCCCTTTTTTAAAGATTGGATGTAATACTCCACCAGTACTTCCATTTTACACCAGTGCTAGTGACTACAAAAGGTGCAAAGCAGTGGAGAATCAAGCTCTGTATCTTTACACCATGCTCTACTGTGAGGTGTTAAATAAGAGGCTGGACTGATTTCTGCAGGCTGAAATAACAAGGCAACCAGGGGCTGCATGGTGTGTTTTTTTTTTGTCAGTCACATTTTGAACCAAACATTTGTCCGTTTCTACCACAAAGTAAATGCACGGGAGTCAAGGTGGAAGAGGAGAGAGAGAGAGAGAGGAAGTGCCCAGATAAGCCTTGCAGACAGACTTGATTGCAGAGAGAATGCCTGAAGCACCAACCTGTAATAGCAGTTCACCCTCTGGTATGATTCTGTCATCCAGTCCCGAGGTCCTCCCATTGTCATGGTCACCATTCCTTTCTGTTCCCCCTTTGGAGCAGTGACTCTTCAGGGCAACTGCAATGAAGCAAAGTAAAGCAATGTTAGTGCTGAAATAATTTTTACAAAATCACTGCTGTGAATGTCAGATTCTTTTACCTCAAACAATTTGTTCACAGTTTGATTAGGTGCTGCTTCTTCAAAGGAAGCCTGCGTTGCTTGCCAGCTGTTTGCTTTGCTGTTCATAGTGTTTATGGTAGAGGTATATACCATGAAAGCAAGAGGCACTTAACAAGACCTGTGCAAACAGCAGCTAAAGCCTTGCCATAGGCCACTAGAGAGAAGTGTCCAAGTACTTATCACACATGATGACATTTACCACTAACTTCAAACAGTTACTATTTTTAAAGGTATGTTTGCTTTCAGTTGGCTTGCAATTGTCGAAATCTGTCCTTTGGCTAAAAAGGATTCCCCCAGCCCAGCTCTGGCCCCTGTTTAGAGGGATCCATTGTCCCTCTTGGGGAAGGGGGTGGGGGAAGAAAAAAAAAAAAGAGGTTCTGGTCATTGACCGGTACATGAGAGGACTACCACCAGACCTTCGCGCCTGGGTAAGCCAGAACGAACCCTCCACCTATGATGAGGTTGTCGCACTGGTAGAGAGGCGAAGGACGGCGAGGGAGCTGACCCGATCAGTTAAGGAAGAGGCACCCCGGGTTAAACTAGCAGCACCAGGCCCTAGAGCTCGGGTGACTGTGCCACCAGGAGAGCCCAGGTGGAAAAAGAGAGCAGCTGAAGGCCCACCAGAAGCCACAAAGAGTCGGAGCACTGAGGGAGAAGATGTTAGACTGCCCAAACCAAGAGACTGGGGAATGCCTAGGGCTCCATACCAATGTTATGCCTGCGGGGAGTGGGGACACATAGCTGCACAGCGTCCCAATGCTGAGGAGCCTATGCAGTGTAACATGAGGAACTGGGCAGACCCATGCTCCCTAATCCACCTCATGGGGGTATCACTAACCCCACATATGTACACCAGACTAGTGAAGCTAAATGGGGTAGAGACCACAGCACTGGTTGATTCGGGGAGTGCTATCACACTTGTCCCGGGGAAGCTCGTGAAGCGTAGTCAGCTGCTGTGGGCTAAGCGTATGGGGATAACATGTGTCCATGGGACAGTTGGTTATTACCCCACCATCCCAGTAAAAATCGAGATTCAGGGGAACATTACTGAGATAGCAGCAGATGTAGTCCCTAAACTCCCATACCGGTGCTCATAGGGACGGACTTCCCAGGGTTTGGAGACTTACTCCTGGTAGGGGAATTGGAGAAAAGGGGAAACCCTGAAGTCAGTGAGGCATCCACAGTAGACTGTCAACCCCCAATCTTCTCTGAAATATCCCGAGATTTGTTCTCCACTCCCAGACAGGGTAGAAAGTCAAAAAGGGCAAGGAGGGCAGCTAAGGCCTTGGGAACCCAAATACTGACCCAAAGCCAGAGGGTCACTCTCATAGGTAGAAAGAAAAGGAGTACTTGTGGCACCTTAGAGACTAACCAATTTATTTGAGCATGAGCTTTCGTGAGCCACAGCTCACTTCATCAGATGTGTACCGTGGAAACTGCAGCAGACTTTATATACACACAGAGAATATGAAACAATACCTCCTCCCACCCCACTGTCCTGCTGGTAATAGCTTATCTAAAGTGATCAACAGGTGGGCCATTTCCAGCACAAATCCAGGTTTTCTCACCCTCCACCCCCCCACACAAATTCACTCTCCTGCTGGTGCTAGCCCATCCAAAGTGACAACTCTTTACATAATCAAGTCGGGCTATTTCCTGCATAGATCCAGGTTTTCTCACTTCCCCCCCACCCCCATACACACACAAACTCACTCTCCTGCTGGTAATAGCTCATCTAAACTGACCACTCTCCAAGTTTAAATCCAAGTTAAACCAGAATATCTGGGGGGAGGGGGGGGAGGAAAAAACAAGAGGAAACAGGCTATCTTGCATAATGACTTAGCCACTCCCAGTCTCTATTTAAGCCTAAATTAATAGTATCCAATTTGCAAATGAATTCCAATTCAGCAGTTTCTCGCTGGAGTCTGGATTTGAAGTGTTTTTGTTTTAAGATAGCGACCTTCATGTCTGTGATTGCGTGACCAGAGAGATTGAAGTGTTCTCCGACTGGTTTATGAATGTTAGAATTCTTGACATCTGATTTGTGTCCATTTATTCTTTTACGTAGAGACTGTCCAGTTTGACCAATGTACATGGCAGAGGGGCATTGCTGGCACATATCACATTGGTGGATGTGCAGGTGAACGAGCCTCTGATAGTGTGGCTGATGTTATTAGGCCCTGTGATGGTGTCCCCTGAATAGATATGTGGGCACAATTGGCAACGGGCTTTGTTGCAAGGATAAGTTCCTGGGTTAGTGGTTCTGTTGTGTGGTATGTGGTTGTTGGTGAGTATTTGCTTCAGGTTGCGGGGCTGTCTGTAGGCAAGGACTGGCCTGTCTCCCAAGACTTGTGAGAGTGTTGGGTTATCCTTTAGGATAGGTTGTAGATCCTTAATAATGCGTTGGAGGGGTTTTAGTTGGGGGCTGAAGGTGACCGCTAGTGGCGTTCTGTTATTTTCTTTGTTAGGCCTGTCCTGTAGTAGGTAACTTCTGGGAACTCTTCTGGCTCTATCAATCTGTTTCTTTACTTCTGCAGGTGGGTATTGTAGTTGTAAGAAAGCTTGACAGAGATCTTGTAGGTGTTTGTCTCTGAGGGGTTGGAGCAAATGCGGTTGTATCGCAGAGCTTGGCTGTAGACGATGGATCGTGTGGTGTGGTCAGGGTGAAAGCTGGAGGCATGCAGGTAGGAATAGCGGTCAGTAGGTTTCCGGTATAGGGTGGTGTTTATGTGGCCATTGTTTATTAGCACTGTAGTGTCCAGGAAGTGGATCTCTTGTGTGGACTGGACCAGGCTGAGGTTGGTGGTGGGATGGAAATTGTTGAAATCATGGTGGAATTCCTCAAGGGCTTCTTTTCCATGGGTCCAGATGATGAAGATGTCATCAATATAGCGCAAGTAGAGTAGGGGCTTTAGGGGACGAGAGCTGAGGAAGCGTTGTTCTAAATCAGCCATAAAAATGTTGGCATACTGTGGGGCCATGCGGGTACCCATAGCAGTGCCGCTGATCTGAAGGTATACATTGTCCCCAAATGTGAAATAGTTATGGGTAAGGACAAAGTCACAAAGTTCAGCCACCAGGTTAGCCGTGACATTATCGGGGATAGTGTTCTTGACGGCTTGTAGTCCATCTTTGTGTGGAATGTTGGTGTAGAGGGCTTCTACATCCATAGTAGCCAGGATGGTGTTATCAGGAAGATCACAGATGGATTGAAGTTTCCTCAGGAAGTCAGTGGTGTCTCGAAGGTAGCTGGGAGTGCTGGTTGCGTAGGGCCTGAGGAGGGAGTCTACATAGCCAGACAATCCTGCTGTCAGGGTGCCAATGCCTGAGATGATGGGGCGCCCAGGATTTCCAGGTTTATGGATCTTGGGTAGTAGATAGAATATCCCAGGTCGGGGTTCCAGGGGTGTGTCTGTGCGGATTTGATCTTGTGCTTTTTCAGGAAGTTTCTTGAGCAAATGCTGTAGTTGCTTTTGGTAACTCTCAGTGGGATCATAGGGTAATGGCTTGTAGAAACTCGTGTTGGAGAGCTGCCGAGCAGCCTCTTGTTCATATTCCGACCTATTCATGATGACAACAGCACCTCCTTTGTCAGCCTTTTTGATTATGATGTCAGAGTTGTTTCTGAGGCTGTGGATGGCATTGCGTTCCGCATGGCTGAGGTTATGGGGCAAGTGATGCTGCTTTTCCACAATTTCAGCCCGTGCACGTCGGCGGAAGCACTCTATGTAGAAGTCCAGTCTGCTGTTTCGACCTTCAGGAGGAGTCCATCTAGAATCCCTCTTTCTGTAGTGTTGGCAGGGAGACCTCTGTGGATTAGTATGTTGTTCAGAGGTATTTTGGAAATATTCCTTGAGACGGAGACGTCGAAAATAGGATTCTAGGTCACCACAGAACTGTATCATGTTCGTGGGGGTGGAGGGGCAGAAGGAGAGGCCCCGAGATAGAACAGCTGCTTCTGCTGGGCTGAGAGTATAGTTGGATAGGTTAACAATATTGCTAGGTGGGGTGAGGGAACCATTGCTGTGGCCCCTTGTAGCATGTAGTAGTTTAGAAAGTTTAGTGTCCTTTTTCTTTTGTAGAGAAGCAAAGTGTGCGTTGTAAATGGCTTGTCTAGTTTTAGTAAAATCCAGCCACGAGGAAGTTTGTGTGGAAGGTTGGTTCTTTATGAGAGTATCCATTTTTGAGAGCTCATTCTTAATCTTTCCCTGTTTGCTGTAGAGGATCTTGATCAGGTGATTCCGCAGTTTCTTTGAGAGCGTGAGGCACAAGCTGTCAGCATAGTCTGTGTGGTATGTAGATTGTAATGGATTTTTTACCTTCAGTCCTTTTGGTACGATGTCCATCTGTTTGCATTTGGAAAGGAAGATGATGTCTGTCTGTATCTGTACAAGTTTTTTCATGCAGTTGATAGATTTCCACTCCATACGGCTAAATGCAGTGCCTTGCATAATGACAGATTTCAGAGGAACAGCCGTGTTAGTCTGTATTTGCAAAAAGAAAAGGAGTACTTGTGGCACCTTAGAGACTAACCAATTTATTTGAGCATGAGCTTTCGTGAGCTACAGCTCACTTCATCGGATGCATACCGTGGAAACTACAGCAGACTTTATATACACACAGAGAATATGAAACAATACCTCCTCCCACCCCACTGTCCTGCTGGTAATAGCTTATCTAAAGTGATCAACAGGTGGGCCATTTCCAGCACAAATCCAGGTTTTCTCACCCTCCACCCCCCCACACAAATTCACTCTCCTGCTGGTGCTAGCCCATCCAAAGTGACAACTCTTTACATAATCAAGTCCAGCTATTTCCTGCATAGATCCAGGTATTCTCACATCCCCCCCACCCCCATACACACACAAACTCACTCTCCTGCTGGTAATAGCTCATCT